GCACACTTGTAATAGCCCCAGCTCGTCCTGACGCCAGCCCTCGTATGTTGAGGTGGCCAATAAATACAGGGTGAAACCCTCCGAATATCCATTAATCTTTAGGCAGCTTAGTCCTGTACATGTGAATGATATTAATGTCTGTTTTAAGTTCAGGATTGCGTTTAGTATTTTGCCACCTTATTTAATTCTTATGATGAATGTTTTTTGCAGATTCTTGATTCTTTTGTTGATGTAATAGACGGGGAGCATAGTTTACTTGCCCCTCTAGCTAGCCCACTCTCGTCTCCTGCAAAGTCAATTGGAGAACCACAAATTCACACTCACCAAACAGCACCAGAGTCTCATGGTGATATTTCTTTTGTACATACTCACAGCATCCCGCCACCCACACAGTCACATTTGGGTTTAGAAGAGATATGACAAACTCTGAGGGAGCAACAACAAATTTTAGTTCAATTGAAGGATTCAGTAAATAACCTCAGATTTTTTTTAGAGTATACACTGGTGGAGGTGAAGACCGACATCAACGAAATAAAGAGAAAAATAAATAAAGTTCCCATGGAATCTCTTGTAGGTTCTGAATTTATTGGGAAGAAAGATAACCCATAAAAGGAAGAAGAACCACCAGCTCATATTGAGCAAGCGTCGGTACAGGAGTGGGGACCCGATATTCTAGAAGCAGAACAGTCGATAAGTAGAATAATGATAAAATAACCTAACGACAATCGAAGATTCACACAAAATCTCATGTTTTTTTAGAGATCTGGTTGGTTTATGCACATGTTATTCCTAAGTTATTGTTGGGTTACTCTCGAAAAAACGGAAAACGGTTGAAGTAAGCAAGAAATCTTACCTCTGTTTCAAAGACGTTGACATTCATTTCGTCATCCATGTGCTCAAACTCTTCATTAAGAGAGAAATCTAACTCCATCATAAATGCAGCGACCAAACCCTAGCTGAGACAAAAAAACCCTTTTTGAAAACTTCTTTTCTAATGAATAATGCAGAATAGAAGTTTCTGAGGGAATAATACACAAAAAATAGGCAGGAATAAACCCAAAAGACGGGATAATACGTAACATTTAACACGTCGGGTTGGGCCGGGCCAAACGCAAAATTTTTTCTTTATCATGACGTGTAAATATGAGTCCCGCAAGATCAGATGACGTCTTTTGCTTGGATAGGGTAGGGACCTAAGGCAAAAATTTGGCCAAATTTTGACACCCTGTTCGGGAAGAAATATTACATCAGTACTACACATGTTATTTTTAAGTGCGTAGCCAATCAAAACACGCCACGATATCTCGCGCGGCGGAGTAAGAAAAACAGCGCAGTAACACGGAGAATATTCCCTCCTGTGTTATTCATGAGTTATTGCGCGTTATTCATGTGTTATTGCATGTCATTCATGTGTTATTGATGTGTTATTGTGTTATTATAACACCAAGAATATTCTCATGATACAATAACACATGAATAACACACAATAACACTTGAATAACACGGGAAATATTCCCGACAGAGAAAAAAACGGCGCAGTAACACGGAAGAATGTTCTCTCCCGTGTTATTCTTGTTATTGTGTGTTATTCATGTGTTATTCAGGTGTTATTGTGTTATTATAATACCAGAAATATTCCCAGGATACAATAACACATGAATAACACACAATAACACATGAATAACACGGGAGGAATATTCCCCGTGTTACTGCGCCGTTTTTTTTGCTTCGCACAGAATATCGTGGCGTGATTTCATTGGGGACACACTTTTACTTATGTCCCTGTTCGGAGCTCGGTAAGCGCCACTACAAGGATCACCTTTTTCTCCGGCTCTTCTGATTCAACGGTTGTGATATACTGGATTTGCTTGACCGAACCCGAGAGGGAGCGAGGGAAACCATCTGCGGCGATGATATAAATTCCCATGGCCTTCGTCTCCCTAGGTTCAGCAAGGCTGTTAGCTTTCCAGCAAATTGATTCGCATTCCCTCTGCTTCTTCTCAACCCCAAGAATTTTCTTCTTTACTTCGAGGAGAAAACTAGGGTTTCGCTTTTGCGGCGTTCGTTGCGGTTCCGGGAGCGGGGCCATGGCCGCGGAGCCTCGACCGGCGGTGAAGGTTCGGATTGATCTCACAATGAACGAGGAGACGATCTTCCGACGTTTGCTCGACGTGATAGACCATTTTAAGCTGAATACGCAACTCCGGGTCGCTGGGGGCTGGGTACGAGACAAGGTTAGGCTTCTAGTTTCACTCTGCACTTTCATATTATTTTCTTGCCTCTAGTTTTCCTTCTGATGCTGGTTTAGTCAAATTGGTGAGCCGGACTGTTTGAAATCTATTTCAATGGTAAGTTTGGAAAGCTTCTTCAGAAGGCGGTAGGTTTGTACTGGTTGGAACTTGGAATGCTTAAAAAAGTTAGTGAGCGGGGAAATGATATATTTTAAATCATGAACTATTTACAACAACGTAATATGCCATTCCTAAGATTAGCATATGAGAACTACCGTATAAGTTAGAAGATGGCCTGAGAATTTGATGGCCTATGGTGTAGCCAAACTAATAGTGCTTCTTCCCTAGTGAAATGATAAATTTATACATTGAATTTATCACTTATCTGATTGATTTCTACTTTGGGAGACATGATTAAAGGAAGATTTTGCTGATGTAGAACCATGAAAATTATTGATGTTCTCCATGAAGAGGAGCTTGACTAGGAACATATCTTTTCTTGATGCATAATGCATTATGAAAATATTGTAATGACTAAACCAATGTTCTTAAATGCACACTTCGAAGCATGCTTTATGAGCAACGCGAAGCGAAGTGCATGACACTCATTTCGTTGAAGCGCACTTCGAAGCACTAAAGTTAATTTGCAGGGTTTTTTGCTTTGCAATTTTTAAGTTTTAAATTATTGCAACTATTATAAATTATTCAAAATTTTAATTGTAGGTTCACCCTTAATGTTTTCCTTCAAGCTTTCAAGTCAGAAATGGTACCATATTCTTTTCTATTTTATATCAACTTTTAAGTCATATTTTATATTTTATAATTGGTAATGAATGTATTTATACATTAATAATTTTAAATAACCTATTGGCATTTTGGTTAATAAAAGCATTGTTTTACTCTACACTTTGTGCTTTGAAGCAAAAATAAAATCTTGCACATCACATTGCGCTTTGCGCTTTGATAACACTGGCATATAATTGATTTTTTTTTTTTTTTTTCATTGGGTGGGGGAAGAAGGTTTCCTTGTGCTTTTGTGAATGTTTACTCTTTTGTATATCATATAAATTACATTTTGATATCCATGTTGGATATTTCTAGCCATTGATAAACATTATGGTATGACACTTTATCCATTATTTAGTATATTTTATTTTTTATTTTCTTGAGATCAAAGTATTTCCTTTTAATTAAGAGGAGATCGAGGAATCTTTAGAATCTCATGCAAATTCTGCATGCAAATTCTCAGTCACTCTACAAATAGACCTTTGTTTACCTTTTTTTGCCACAACTAAATGCACTAAGGCCTCACCTCGTTCTTCTAAGGCCTCACCTCGTTATCATATAGAGTTGGAAGAGGCTTATTTTATGCTTGAGAGAGACAAATTTAGATCTATTTTTTGGGATCATTGCACATCCTCTGGAACGATGACAAACTAAGGCTAAATCAACTATGACGCTGCCTTCAATTTTGTTTGTACTTGCCCCACAAATTAAAGCTTCCTTTTTTGTGTTTTAATGAAGTTGGATGGTCCAATGCTTTGTCTCCATATCCAAACATTGCAGTCTACTAAACTTATTCTCAAGCGATGGAATTTGACTTGGGCTCCTTCCCACCTAATTCATTATATTCATTTAATTTTATTATCATCACTAGCCTTATATCAACTCTTTTGGCACATCATCATTAATCCTTATTTTTCATTCATTTATGTTGGTGCTATATGTTGTTGAATCAATTCTCCACAAATCATTTTGTTGAACAAATTCTATCGCTGTAAATTTAGTTTTACCCCTTTTCCTTCTTTTTGCTCATACACTAATTTTATTAGCTTGTCTAGCGGTCACATTTTCTACTTTTCATCTTCAATGCTATAGTGAACTTGAGCCCATTTTGTTGGGCTTGCTTGAGTCGAGATTCATTTCGTTGCGGCCAAAAATTCAAAAACTTTGGGTTGTGGGAATTCGAGATTTGTCATTAAACTGGTGATGGTCATGTCTACAGAAAACATGCTTTGATAGTTCAGTTGTGTTGCATCTATTTTCTGAGTATAGACTATAATTCCCTTATAACTATAAGTTCTGCGTTTTGACATGAACTCAAACAGAACACCATAAATAAATATAATAAATTTTCAAAAAGTTAGAAGTCTAAAATATTACATAAAAAGTTATGCATCACTTAAAATTGATTAACATCAAAATTAAATTTATAATAATAACAAGTAATGCTATCATAATATTATTTTTAATGTCCAAACAATCAAATCTATCAGAAAATTTTCTTTCCAAAGCCGCTCTCGATATATGGTCACCGTCTAAAGTGAACATTTTTGAAGTTGCCGACCCCTAAATAAGTTACAATCATCAATTGATTTGTTTCTGGGACACCTATAAAATTTTCTCTCACAGTTTGCTTCTCATTGTGATGTAAATATGCAACATTGCAAAACACAGTTGCAATACACAACTTTAGAGGCAATAGAAGTCTTTGAACTCTTATTTCTTGATAATTCATAGTTTAATATAATTACAAAAAAAGTAAAAAAAAAATCAAAATAACAATGATATAACCAGAAAGTTAGAAAAGAAAAGAGCTCAGAGTCAATATAAATTTTAATAATATGTCATTATATGAAGATAGATGATATAGAAAGTATGGGATCTTGGTTGCCTTTAAGCACTTACTACCAAACTTATATGTCAGAAAGCTTGGTATCATAAAGAACATCTAGAAGAATCCCTAAGTTTATATGACTCAGAAAGAATGAGATTTTGGTTGCCATGAAACAGTAAATACCAAACTCGTAGATATCAGAAAATATACTAGTGTAAAGATCATCCAGAAGAACCCGAAATGTCACATGACTCATCATAGATCTAAAAAAAATATATTAAAGCAACTCATTGTCAAGCAATGCAAAATAATATTTTATATTTTGTTCAGTTCCACAAAATTACAACTTTCATAAATCATTGAATTACATAAAAACAGAATTAATCTCTCAAGCAAAATAGAATGCTTAAGATGTCCTACAGACATAATTTTATCACAAAAATTATTTATTGATGTTTCACTAATTAACTAAAATATTCATAATTTCTTTCCTTAGCTGAACCATAATATTATCACCTTCCCCATCTTGAGTTGGATGATTCTTGACATCTTTAATGTCCATCATTGAGTGAATAATCTTGTATTCATAAGCCTCGGGTGAAATATGTATGTGATATATTTCTAAACTATTAAATTCAATGTTATACTTTGAAGGATGACTTTGTATATTATTATATAATGCTATTTTTGCTAGGATGATTTAATTTTTTTGCTAAATGAATACGTAGACGTGTCTCTTAAAATAACCTATTTTTTCTTCGAACCACCAAAAACTTTCTCAATAACGTCACGTAACGAAGAGTATTGCTTGTTAAACATCTATATTTTACCACAACCATCTTGATTATTCCTTTCGAAATCGGGAATGCAATATTTTGTTTAAGGATATGACTTCAAGAAGCCCAGTTGCATCGGGTAGTCGACATCCACAAAGTGGTACTACCCTATTGAGTTACACAATATCTACATTTACATGTATTTCTAAAGAGTTATATATTAAATGTGCAATTATAGAGTACTTAAAAGTAGTATAGCAAAATTATATTGATGGGAGCATGTTTTAAATTTGAATATGCAGGTGTCATGCGCACTTCCTTTCCATCCGACCATGACAAACATAAAGCACATGTTAAAATCACAAACCGTTTTGTTGTTCTGTATTGGTGAACCACATCATCTGATATAAGTCACGTTTTCATCTTTAGGAATACGAACATCTACATGTATTTTATAAATTATCTCAATACAATCTTATACCACAAATTATTTTCTCAAGCACATTCAAGCTGCTCATATACTTATATAATTTCATGTATATCAGTTTATTTTGAATTAGGACACATAATGATAATCATGTGATATCTTGATAGGTATACTCTAAAAAGTAGTATCTATGGGCTTCGTATTAGTAGATGTGAAGTAGCAAGAGCGTCTAAGTCGATGTTGAAATATGTACTAATTGTTTCAGAAGAATATTGAAAAAGCTCACATGTTACCTTTATTGATTCATTGTGTGATAATATATAAAATATTATCCATACCACTGTTCTTGAAGAGCTTTGAAGACCATCTGCAAATCTTGAAAGATTAATAAAGACTGCTTGCAACACACGAAACAACTTCATATTTCCTGCAAGCAATTTTCCGATTCATTTTTCTTCATTATATGTTGTTGTCATTGAAGGAGTTATAAATGTATGTTTCACAGTACTCATTAATTAAACATATAATAGTGAGCATAACCTTCTTGCACAGCTCTTGTTTGTTGCAAGCTATGATTGTAGCAACACAAGTAAAAGCTCATCAATCAATACTTGCAGGAACAACATCAATTTAAAAATATAGATTAAAAAGCAAACAATGCAGAGGAGTTTCTACAAACTACAAAGAAATACATAAAACAATACATATAAGTCTAACCTAACTAAATACGGATGCCCATTAATCACAAACCACTCAAAATGTCTAACCCTTAACCCATTACAAAAACTCAATATTGAGGGCTTTCATAAAAAAATTATGGTAATGAATCCTTTATTCAACTTTATTTGACATGAACATCTTTTTTTTAGTATGGTTCTAGAGTACAAGTATAGTAACACATCATAAACTTCAGGGATCATTTCACGTGTTTTTATGACAGTAGAAGATGCTCAATTGGTGAACTTGACCTAGAAGACATATTTGAACATGTTGTAACTAGCTGAGATATCTGATCCTTTTGAAAGGATGCTCTGCTAGTCTTCTTTCTCCCTAGGACAGGTTTAACAGAATGTTGGCACTTTGTATGACTGGATCGATTGTTCTTATTGGAGGTCTGGTATGAACTTTTCTCAGGGTATTTGAACTTTCGCTTTGTTCAAATACTCCATAGGTACCTAAATCA